GCACTCTGCAGGTTTGCCGCAGCCTCTATAGGGAGAGCAAAGGAGGAGTTCCTCTCCTTGTTAGGATGCTGAGACCTGAGAAGAGAACTTCCTTTCAAGGGAGAAATGTGGATCACTCCAGAAATTGTGTTTACAGGAAGGGGAGAAAAAAAAATTCGAGACTAACCTATTTTTCCCTCCCTGTTCTTAGTGATCCCTTATAGGTCAGTGATAATTCCCATCAAAAAACTAAGCAATGCAATAACCACATCAAACCCCTGGATCTGTGTATCAGGAGAACTAGGAGATACAGGTATAATGCAGATTCCTAAAAACCACCTAGAAATGACGTTTGAGGTGAGTGCACGCTCTTTACATTTTACTTTGCAGTTTGAAACATGCTTCCAAATAATCATCATTAGAATATATAACCAAATAAACACCAAATAAAATAACTTGGTGAGGGTTTGTTTGCTCACATCACAGCATTTCAAGTTCTGTCCAGGTTTTCAAGGTTGTACATTCAAAGGCTGCACATTTCAAGGCTGTACATTCAAATAAGGACAGGAAACCAGTGCTGCCTACCCCTCCTGTGCTAGATGGGACTCTGCTGTGAGCACATACTGCTTCTAACCACAGGCTTCTCTGCTGTCCCTGTCCCAGCCCAGGGCTCCCCTGCTCACCTAGCCAAATCTATCCCTTTCAGGCCTCATTTCTGACTCTTCATTTCCCTTCCAAGTTTCTTTTCCCTTCTTTCAATCTATCTGTCCACTTACTGACACCCAGGTCCTTTTCTATCTCTGACCAGTCCTAAATTCCTTCTCCTCCCACTCCAGCTCCTCGTCTGGCGTTGCTGCTTTCCTTCCAACCAGTCAGTGTAACCCCTGAGCTCTTGCCAGCTTCAGTGGTTGCTCCAAGGACAGCACAGAGCCGCCGTCCCCATCGGGCCCTCTTCTCTGTGCTTGCTGTGGTTTTCTCATTGTGTTTCCCCTCTGCTTTCTCACCCAGCAATTACAGGTGGGCTTGGTGCCACCGCAAGGCCGTTTTTTGGCAGGGAAAGCCCCATCAGGCTCCTGTAGCTCCAGGCTGTACCATACACAGCAAGGAGTGATTTCATAGGAAAATCTGCTACTAAAATTGAAGTTGCATCCACTGAATGTGTGCAAATTAATCAACAACAACAATAATAAAAAAAAGCCAAAACCCTCTTGTCAAGTATAGGTAGTGTTTGATAGAGTGGATATTTTTGTGATACAATGGCTGCCTCTTGCTCAGATATTAGTATTTTGTAGAAAAGAACTCCACACTTGTAACAAGTAAAATAGCACATTTAGACATTTCTGAGTACCGTACTAACACTGTTCTGGATTAGTCCTTTGACTGAACCTTTCCTAAAATACCAACTCGGGTAGTCACCCACTATGGAAAATACCACCCCAAGTTGCTTTTTTGGCAGTAAGAGAAGCAATGAAAACCAAGGTCTTGCAAGGGAACTGTTTAGGTGACGTTAATAGATGTTGCTGCCAGCCCCACCTGCAATTACATATTGTGCTGGAATTCACAGTCCCTTATTTTCTTTGTCCTGTCTCTTTGTGATGTTAAGCATCTCATATTAGTGATTTTTTTTCTTGCCCAACAATAAGCAAATTGATCTTTGAAAATAATAAAGGAGCTAGGGACTGCTTCATCGTGTAGAGTGAGTTTTCCTGAGCAGTGGTCAAAACGCATTTCTGAAAAGCTGTTTCTACTGAAGATAATAGATCTTCTACAAAAGCATACCTCTTCATCACCTTAGCTTAGAAATTTGTAATTAATACTCCTCAGAAATATTCATAGTGAGTGCTCACAACAAAAAATGGAATCTTTTACAAGCTTCTAATAGTTTTATTTCAAGGTATTTCTTTTCTCCTGTCTTAATTATTCTGCTTTTGAAAACGCTCTGCATGTTTGTTTAAAAATACTTGCTATGTAAATCAAAGGAAACACAAAAAAAAGTACATTTGAGACCATATGTGTGGGTTTGGTGGGGGTGTGTGTTGTCTGTTGTTTTTTAAATTAAGTAAAAACTGTTATTCATTTCAGTGCCAGAATTTAGGGAAGCTGACGACCGTTCAGATTGGTCATGACAACTCAGGGCTACTAGCCAAGTGGCTGGTTGATTGTGTCATGGTCAGAAATGAAATAACAGGACACACGTACAAGTAAGCAACACGTTTTAATTTTCTTTGTCTGAAATTCTTTCTTGTTAAATCTAGAGAAAACAAGACATTCATCTGTTTAGCTGATGGAGCACTGTGGGCTGATTTGGGTACTTGATAGGGTTAGGCTGGTCTTTCCCACCCCTGGTTCTCTCATTTTAGAAATCCTAGCTGAAGTCAAATAAATCTGATAAATATTAAATGAAACTTGAAAGTGGGAGTTTTTCTTTGCATCTCTCTGAGACAGGACAGACTGTATGGATACTTTTGAAGTGATTCATATGTTTGTGTTTAATGATTAAATGTCTTGATTTAAAGTAGTGTGGTAAAATTGTGCACAAGTGAACTCTTTAAGCCCCTGAGAAGCTGGAATGATAGTTTAGGGCAAATCTTTTTTTTCTTTTTTAAAAAACATACAGATGTCTAAGTACTATAACAAATGTACACAAATGTGGATTACAAGGAAATAAAAAGATTTTATAACTTCTTAACCTTCTATTGAGTACATACATCTTGTGTCAAAATCGTCTCCTACCTCATCATTGGTTTTACCATCTGGCTAAGCAGACTTTTTTTCTTTTTTTTCTACGTGGGGGCTTGGAAAACTGTAATTCAGAGAAGTGAGCTCCAGAGCTCAGAGTTGGCCCCAGTATATGGTGTAAAGTAGGAGGAAATGGGGTCAAAAAGTACAGCATTAAAATGTGAGATGAGGCTTCAGTATGAGGAGACATCACTGCTTCAGTTGGATGGGAGCTCTGTATGGGGATTTCATCGTTAATCATCATGATATTTGTAAAGGCTGAATATCAGTGTGGTTGCAAGTGAAAACTAACCCGGCAGAAATCAAGATGTGTCCTATGAAATATGTGTATAACATTTTCTGTTGTCCTGTGCTTTCATGCAAGCTTTGCTTGTTTCCCTTTTGCTCACGATGGAGGTGAATGTAGTTTTCTGCTTTGGTCCTATGAGTTGTGGTGCAGGGGATGCTGCCTGCTGAGTTCTGGTTTGTGAAAAGTTTCTGGCTACAGAGCATTCCCTGCCCATTAGCAGTTTCTACACTTCTTCTAACTTTTGAGGTCAAACTGGACTCCCTCCTATGACTGACCTGTGCTTGTGCCGGCCGCATCACAGGTTTCCTTGCGGGCGATGGCTGGGAAAGGGCGTTGACGATGGCAGTTTGGAGCGAATACTCATCGGAGAGCTGATGTCCTCCACATCTGATGAAGAGCTGGGAAAGCAGTGCCGTACTCCACCCCAGCAGAAATCTCCTACCACTGCTCGACGACTGAGCATCACTTCCCTCACAGGGAAGAACACCAGTAAGTCCTTTTCTTTCTCCCCAGGGCCCTAGAGAAGGGGTCAGCAACTACCAAGAAGTAAAGCTGCCTTGAGCAGGAGAGCTCCCACTGAAGCAAGGCTTGGTGCGGAGGAAGAGCTGCGAGCTGATGAGGTTTTGTCTCCCCCGGTTTATGTGTCTGCAGCTTGCTCTGTGACTGTACATGTTGCCTCTTTCAGTGTCCCCATTTGAGAGGTAATAATCCCTTTCCTTGGAACATGGAGATATGAGATGAGGGAGGAGGAGGCAGCAGAATTCGCAGTAGCTGATGCTGCTTAGCTTCCCGGCTCACTTTGCAGTCAGTGGGAAGATAGTCCTCTCTTAATGGCAGTTTGGAGCCTGATGTGGGTGCTGTGAATTGCCTTCTGGAGGAGCACATCTCCAGAGGGGATCAGGTTCACATCCCTAAAATTAGCTTTTGTGTGTAACTGCACCTGGCTGCAACGGGGCATGGCACTGTAAGAGCCACTTGAGGCATTCTCCGCTAAAGTATGCAGATGAGCAGAGTGTAGACCCAATTCGTACATCTATCTAGCTCCTGTAAAATTAGAGGACAAGACTGCTGAAATGTCGCTCAAGGGAAGATTAGCCTCCAAGAGTAATGCAGTGTTTAATATCCACCATGGGACCGCTGCAGCTTTTCTCATATGTGAGTCCATATTAGCTGGAGGATTGGGCACCAGAGCATTTCCTTAGGTGTGAGAACAGAGCTAAGGCCCAATAATTCTTCAGTTTTGTGAGCTAAATGGGTCTCTGTGTTAGACTTGCCAAAGACTGTGAAGGTCACCATATAACAATACTGAATTACTCTAGGCTTCCAAAATAACAGTTAGAGGACAAGCTAATAGCAACCTACACATGTCTGAAAAACTAGAAGGAACTCACAGAAGAACCATGAAAATGATTGAAGCCTGGAAAACTTCTGCAAAAAAATGAAGTTTTAAAAGTTCAACCTGTTTTAATCAGAAAGAGAATGAGGGACTAGCTAATTTTGTGCAGGTACCTGCATAGGAAGATGAATTGGTAGGAGGTGAAAGCATAGCATGATTCAGTAGCAAAGGCATACAGCTAAACAGATTCAGAGCAGAAATGTGGCATACATTTTAACATGGAAGATAACTTACCCTTGGAACCATTAATAAGGAATATTCTCTGCCTGTGGCCCCTCACACTGGTGCAATGACTAGACATGTGCCTAAAATAGATACTTGTTTTGGCTCGATAAAACACTGTGGGTTCAAGTCAGGAATTAATGAATGCTGGGGTTTCTGGCCTCTGTCACGTAGAACTGAGTCAAATGACTGGGCTACAACCTTGCAGCTTTCATGTCTCTTCATGTGAGGGCTGCTGTACTCTATGTGATGAGCAAGATGTGATTAACTCAAATACAATATTTATCAAGCCAGATCCTTGGATTGTGCATTTTTAAGTAGGGCGATTTATTTGATAATAATCAAATAAATAAATAAATAAATCAAATAACCAGGGTTGCTTACCAGTTGCTTGTAATTAAAGCTTGGGTTTGCCCAAGACAAATGATTGCCTGAACTCAGATAGAGATACAGAATAATTCCTGCAGCTCAGGCTATGTCATCATGATAATTTGATGAATGCTTTCAAATTGTTATCTTCACCTAGTATGTTCTCCATCATTTCACAGAGCCTAATGCAGGGCAGATCCAAGAAGGAATCGGGGAAGCCGTGAACAATATTGTGAAACACTTTCACAAGCCAGAGAAAGAGGTACTTCTTACTTTTCATTACTTGCCTGGTATCTACAGTGCATGTAAATATTTTTATAAACAGAAATGGAGCCAAAGTACCAACAGAGACTGTTAACCTTTAGATTTGTAGCTTCTAGCATACAAGGAAGGCAAGTTGCACTTACAGATTCTCCTTTTCTCACAGAGAGGGAGCCTTACCATTCTCTTGTGTGGAGAAAACGGTCTGGTCGCAGCGCTGGAGCAGGTCTTCCACCATGGATTCAAATCAGCTCGCATTTTTCATAAAAATGTCTTCATTTGGGATTTCATAGGTAAGCTAGTGTGTGATTTGGAGGCAGAAGGAGATGGAGGATTAGGGCAAAATGACTGCTCACGCACAGACCTCAGATTCTTCTTAGCTGGGGTGTCATTTGTTTCTGCCTAGCACCTGTTCCAGGTTGCTTGAAGTCAACGAGAAATGAGGTGGATGATGAGAAATACTTAACTCTGTATCAAGATTGAGTGTGAATCTGTGCAGAAATTTAAGAGCTTCAAATTCTAGTCATTTATGCATAGATGAATGTTCAAACAGCTGCTTTTCTACCCAGAAAGTAGGTAGACTGGAGGTTGGGGTAGAGTAGCAATCAGTGTTAGGGGCAGAGTTGGGAAAGGGCAGGGAGTGAAAGGTTTGGATTTCTGTTTGTTTATGAGAACTCTCCTAATCACTGCACCGGTCTTCTGGTGATGCTTATCTGTAGACCTATGTTGTGGTAGTTTAAGACATAGTTATTCCCTTAAAACATGCTTGCAAGTTGAGATACTTAGTCTGAGGATGGGTACTTACTCGAAAAGGTAAAATATCGAAGCTGATGGTATAACTTACAATGACACCGTTGACGGGCACTCTGGTGCAGCTCCTTGATGTTACCTAACTGTATCAGACATCAAGCAGTCTGTTGACCACTGCTAAGTAGCAAAGGAGATCACCACCTACCTGTGGTCTTCAGAGGGAGGAATCCATGTATAAACTCTGCAATAGCCCTCGGCAGGTTGTTCTTTAAGGATTCCTTTGTGTAATTCTATGTCACGATGAAGTACTTCTGCTTACTGGGTTCTGATTTTCTCCCTACCCCAGAGAAAGCTGTTGCTTACTTTGAAACCACTGACCAGATTGGAGACAATGAGGAGGCCCTTTTGCTTCAGAGATCTTCGTGCAAAACCTTCTGTCATTACGTGAATGCCATCAATACAGCTCCAAGGAACATTGGAAAGGATGGCAAATTCCAGATTCTAGTTTGCCTGGGGACAAGGTACCTAACTGGTTTTTGTTATATGTGTTGTCTTGCATTAGATTAGAAGAATATTTTTACACCATTGTTATTACATTTAGTGTTCCATTTAAAGACATCTCACACCTATCTATTATCTAGTACCTATTTTAGGCAGCTTTAATACTATGTGAAAAATTGGAGCAAAGAAGCAATAATGATACATGGCTAAACTGCTAAAAACGTTTTGAGCTCTTTTATAACTGTTAGCTTGACAGGTATATATATATATGAAATCTGTCTTGAAATTGTATTTTTGATGAAGTGCCATCTTTGGGAATGCAGCGTTCCTTTGCAAGCGCATGTGGATTTCTAAAACCTCATCGAATCACTTTGGCTATGAAAATGGAATCTCTGGTATAATTCTGGACAAAATTGTTCTAGATTAATCTTTCCTACTAGGATGCGTTGTGTTGCACTAGGGGAGGGGTGAGGTTAGTTAGGAGGGTGGAAGTTGGTATGTCTAGAAATCAGTAGCATTTTTGTCTTGTCTGTCTGGATATGTGGAAAAACAGTTGGAAAAGAGTCTACTGGTTTTTCCTGAGTTTTACTTTTCCTGTTCCTGATCTGAAAATGTTGCTGAATTCTTCCAAAGTCAGTTGTCCAATTGTGCTGTTATCTTTCCATCTTCATTCCTACAGTATGTTCAGTGACCTGTATTTTACTAAGAAAATCGAGGGTTATGGTTACACAGAAAAGTTTTATATGCAAACAGCATGCATCACCCTTAAAAAAGAGACTGCGTATTTTGGATCGTGTTCCTGGAGAGGAATTTTGGTTTGAGATCTATTGTACTTGGTACTAAAATACTTCCTTTCATCCCCTTTGCAGGGACCACTTGCTCTCTCAGTGGATCCCGTTGCTGGCGGAGTGCCCACCCATCACAAGGATGTACGAGGAGAACGCTCTCCTACGGGACCGCATGACTGTCAACTCCCTTATCCGGGTCCTACAGACATTGCAAGATTTCAACATCATCCTAGAAGGATCGCTCATTAAAGGAGTGGATGTTTAGCATGGCTTTGCTGAGAACTTCATTATTCCTTTCCTGAGCAAGCGAACCACAGCTGGAGACCTGTCAGGACTTGAAGGCGATGGTAGTGCACCACTGTAAGGCAAAGCTGCTGGGTGAAGCAGGAGTGGGAAGCCCAGTTTGTGCCCGATGGGGACTCTCCTCTAAAGCTGCAGAAAGCTAAGATGCAGTATTGTAGTTTATTTGAAACAGAAATTTAGTATAAAATAGAGTATTTTCATGTGTTAGATGTGTGTAAATATGCTATCTTCTTGAAGAAATTATATTACTCTAAGAAATTTTTTCTTAGGCTGAATGTTCTTGTTCTGACTATGAGTAGCTTAAACCCAGGGGAAGGACTGGGGGGAGGGAAGGACTGAGGTGGGAAGGGATGCCGCTACTTGCTTGCAAGGAAGAAGCCAATCAATGTGTAAATACAGCAGAAACTCAGCAGGGCTTTTTTCAGGTATTGCAAATTAATACAGCAAATATCCTTATGTAGCCATTGTGATTGATTGTCTCACTCTTGGAAATATTGTAAGCATATGCTGGTTTATCCTACTGTACGTGGTCTCTCTCAGTTTGTTTTTTTGTTTGAAGACTCAACCCTTTCCATGCACGGGAGTCGTGAGTCAGCTTTTTTTTTTTTTCTGTAAGGTCTTTTGTGTCACTTTTGTTGATCTCCAAAAGGGGAGACAAATGTTGAAATGCTTAAACACCGGAGAAGAGGGCTGCTGTCAGCCTCGGAGCCTGAGAGTATGAGAGACCTGTTTAAGTGGTGCTGCTGCATCCTGAGGAACGATGGCTTGCTTGGCTCACTCGATGTGTCCCTTGCCTGTCTAGATGTTCTGTTGAGTCCCCCATGCCCTCAACCAGTTTGTGCTGTGGATGATTTTTTTTTTTTTTCTCCTTCCATGTTGAGGAATTTGGTTCATACCAAATTCTTGCTGTACTTGAGAAGAATCATTGCTGTAGAGACACAACCACCGATGTTGCTGTGATACTGAAATGTAAGAGCTGGTTTTGAGACGCTGACAGGTTATGAGTCTTCCTTTATCTCACAGAGTGAGTGTTCCTAGGAAGTACAGGATCTTTGATTACTTTTTTTTTTAATTGTCCAGCTAAAAAAAAAAGAATGAAGCAAAAGGAGGAAAAGAAAGAAAAAGAATCTCACTTTGGTATTTTGGGGCTACTCCTCTCCTACACTCTTTGCAGTTAATGTGTTAGTAATACAGTATGTGTATATAGATACAGCTCTTGAAAAGGAACTGGGAGCAGCTGAAATCCTGTACGCTAAAATTTAACAAGAGATTACATTAAAATCTTCTTGTGGATACCATGCGGCAAATACGGAGTGTAGTTTCCATTTTTGTGGGTGGGAGTTGGAAGGATCCGAGGGCATAGCGAGCTTCATCTCGGTTTAGGTTTTGGAGGTTAGTTTAAATACAGGTGTTTGTTTTCACTTGTTTATTCCCTATGATCCTGGCCATTTCATCAATGGATTTCTGTGGATGTCTCGCTGTCAGCTGTGGCTTGGGAAAGGCCTGTAACTGTTTCTGTAAGTGCACTGCCTTGCACTGTGCCCTCGAGTGGCGTTAGGAGGGGTTTGGGAATGGTGGGCAGTAGCAGGTCACAGTAGAGTGTGCACATGGTGGAGAGAGGGATGAGAGCTAAGGAGAAGGAAAGAGGATGAAAATTAGGGTTTGCTTTCTCACCTGCCTTCTCTCAAGCTTCTCTTACTGTCCTGTGGTCCTTCTGCCAGCACTTGCTTTAGTGGCAAAGTTTCACGTCATACTCCCAGCCAGAAGAAAACTCTTTGTGTGACTCTGTTTGATAAGAAGGGAGAGTTTTATGTTATAGAAGTTTTTTCTGTTTCTAAGAAAGAAGTAAAATCGCTGTCAGGAAGTCATTGACTTTCAGCTTTTAATAACTGTTCTTTCCTCCCTGGCTTGTACCTCCTTAAACTGACTAAACTCATCCCAAATACTGTTGGCAGAACTGCCGTGTCACTACTGTGGGTGTGAATAACTAATGTAAAGAGCATGAACAGTGTCATGAGTTAGTAGCCAGAGTTCACAGCTGTGAGACATCTCTCTTACATTTCCAGAAATGTGAAATTTGGGGTGTTAGGGTTTTCTGTATGGCAAGTCTGTTTAAAGTCAGCAGAAGATGGATGACAACCCTTCAGCAGCCACTGAAAATGTGTCTCTAGTAGTTAACTCTATCAATAAATTATACATTTAGCACCAGAAACCATGTGGCAACATTATTCGGTAATGACTGCTTAGGATGTTTTTGATTTCTATTGCAGCTCAGGCCTTTTATGTCTAATGACTGCTATACATGATTTTTTCATGCCCAACCCAGTCTAAGTGACTTTCCTTTTACTGAAATAATAACCTCTTTAGTCCTTGGATTTCCTGACAGCATCATCTGCAATTGCTAGCTGGATACTTCGCAAAAGCATACGGCTGCAGACTTTTCCAAAGACTATTTATGACTTAAGCAGTTGTAACATTCATCTGACATGACACGGGTTAACTATAAGCAGGATAAAGTAGAAATGTGAGCATCTCTAAAGGTCAAGCATAAATGAATAAACCACACACAGAGAAAAGGGCAATTACTACATAAAGTCTTTCTTAAGTTAAAATAAGTCGAAACCTGAGAAATTTTAAAATTCAAAACAGGGCCTTCCCCCGTTACAAAGGAACGTTTAGCACTTAAACAGAATTTCACTCAGCAAGTTTGACTTGTTTGGTTTTGTCAGGTTTCACTTCATATTAATAATATAATAAAAATTTACATATGTCTAATATTTCCTTGGAGGCAATAAAACACCCTAAGATACGTTGAAAGGGGCACAGCTGAGTGTCTCAAATTCCTAGAAGACTAGCTTTCTGACAACCTTGGGAGTACAGTTCTTTGTAGTGAACTTTTATTCTACCACATATGATTATTTTTTTTAGTAGACTGCTTTTGTTTATCGGAAACTGTGAGTTTTTTTCTGTAAGGTTTACAGAAATCATTCTACCCACTAGAGTGGTGAGAAACCCATCAGGATTCTTCTAAGCTAACACAGCTTTTGCTTCAGTGTTAAGGCACCTTCTTTGGTTGAGAAAGGGAATCTTGGAAAAGACCAAAGCTCTCTATCTGCTTTTTAAAAAATAAAAATTCCTATCCAATACCCGTCTGCAGATGTCTGAGTTTATGTAGTCCTGTTATAGTAACATTCAGCATGGTATCTCGAGGGAGTCAGAAAATCAGATGCCTCACTATGTACAAAATACGTATTTATAATTCTCCGGAACAAATGAAATTCTGCTGTTTAGTGAATGATTTACTCCTGTTTATTCCAAGTTGGTTTGTGCAATTAGGTAATCATTGTTCAAAAAATGTCTTTTTAGAATAGTTGTGCAACGGCATATTTGAGAAAATTCCTTCTTTCAATCAAATCAAGGTGCGCATCTTAAGGGGAAATATTGTATGTCACACTTGAAATGTATCAATGTGCCCTGTATAGCTTAAAATGATCCTTAAATGTCTCCATTAAGTATATTTTGTCTTTACATTATTACTAATTGAATAAGAACTGGATTATTTTCAAGACAACATTAGTAAAAGTATTGTTATATCAAGCACTTTAACATAAGTACCACAAAGTGACATGGGTTTTTCAGGTTTTGAAGTACATTGAAATACGGCTTTTCATGCTATGTCCTTTACAAATAAAACTGTGAGAATAATGGTTGGTGTCACTTTCTCCTTGCAGAGGAACTGAGACATTGGAGTCTCAAGCCGAAGATCTAATCTGAACCTGGGGGGCACATTTCATAAAGGGAACAAGTCAAACAAATAGGGGGCCGGTTAGCTCAGTCAGTTAAGAGCGTGATGCTGATAACACCAAGGTCGCGGGTTCGATCCCCGTTCGGTCCCCATGTGTTGCCTGATCTAGGTGAGAGGCGTCCCTGCCCATGACAGGGAGGTTGGATTAAATGGTCTCTAAGGTCCCTTCCAGCCTAGGCCATTCTATGAAAATGACTGAGCCGATAGTGACTCCTGGTGCTGGGAAATTGCTGGAGCAGAGAGGAGAGGAGAAGGGGTGTGAAGGTGCCCTCTCAAAACCTGCTTTTCTCCTTCTCCTGACACAAAAGTCTGACTGTGCCAAGACTGTCCAGCTCTTCATTTTCAAGACTTGGGTGGAAAGCGTGGCTGATTGAAGAGAAGAAATGGGATTGCAGTGAAGTTCAGCCCTCACTAGGCAGCCTGGGTTACTCTCTCTTACTTTCTAGAATACTTTGGAGGAGTGGAGAGAAGGGGGGGGGTGGGATCCCGTTGGCAGCAAAGTGGGAAGTGTGGGATTAACTGCAGCTGAGGGTCTCTTTCCTCCCTTGACATGGGTTGCTCTGGTATTTGAACTCATGGTTAAAAAGCTGGAATGAAAGTTATGCCCTCTGATCTCTCAGCATGTCTCCTAAGAGGAGTTGGTAGAGGAGAGAGATGTGTGCCTGAAACAAAAAAAAAAGGTGCAAAAGGATGACAGTGAAATGCTCTGCTTAGTAATTAGAGACTTTTCTAAGTTGCACTGGATTTTCAGAAATTCACCCTAACCTGTCCCTCCCAGCTGTAGCTCTGCCAGAATTGGCAAAAATATGAGAATTTTTGAAAACTGCGTAGTTGAAATGCAGTTCCCTGCATGTGCGTGGTGTATGTGAGGTGGGGCATGTTTGATTTAACTCTTGGGTTTGAAAAGGCAAAGAGTCTCAGGAGAGGACTGAAAGTCTCAGAGCCTGGGGCCATATGTGTGGGAATCCTGAAATCCGTTGTTGGATGATACTGATGTTTATCAACAGTGTAGCAGCAAAATTACAGGATCCTGTGAGAGTGAAGGAACTGCTTGCAGTCAAGTTTCAGTAGGAGGAGTGGCCGTACTTAATACAACTCCTCACTTAAATGTGTAAGGCTAAAATATGTAAATTAGAGATAGTGGGATCTGACATTTTAAAGGCTGCAAGTACTTGAAGTAAAGCAGGACTAAACTTGCCTGGATGAGGAAGTGCAAATAACTTCCTTTCCACTGTGCTGTAGTTGATACTGTCTGAGAACACTGCAAAGGGTAAGTAGAAGAAAACTGTCTGAGAAAACTTGCACGAGCAGGAGTTGAAACAGCTCACCGGATCAACTTTGTTCCTTTCCAGCATTTCAGGTGAGCTTGTTGGAACAAACTGTGCTCAAGTTAAGAGCAGAGCTCCTTCCCTGTCTGTCACCCTCTCAGCTCAGAGGATGAGACTCCTGTCCCTGCAATCAGGGAGCATCTCATTGCTGACATCCCTATTTTCTCCCCTGCTATTCCATCAGACATGTGTCATTATAAGCTGGTTTGAGCTCAGCGCAGGATGTGAAGGGAATGGGAAAAAGTCTGTATGGGTCTGCTCTCTGGTGGCTGGCTAAGGTAAACTATCTGCTAAATTCGCTGCCGTGCCGATTTGTGAGTGGAAAGCTGTAGTTCTGCAGGAAAGGTTGACACTTTAATGGGCCCCATCTGTATTCCCTG